CCCCCCCGGTTTCGTTGTTATGAGGTTGTCTTTATGCCGGGAGGCTTTTAAAGGCCGATCAGAAGAAGAGAATATCCAGTACAGTATTCTGGTTTTGCTATAGAAGATGGAGTGGCCGAATTCGTACTTGACGTGGGAGGGCGGCGGTCTGAAGCTCTCCCACGCGATTTGCCCGGCCCGTGTGAACAGCCCTTGCGGTTTCCCTCGTGCTTCGAAGACTTTGGTTTTCCGCCCGACGTCCTTGGCGATTTGGAAGAGGCCAAGAAATTGGTATCTGTTGCGCGCGCCCCTTTTAATAGTACTTCCCAGGGCGTAGCTAAACAAATAAACAGTGAATTAAAACCGAAGATTTTAAAAAGGGCCAATACACGAAAGCCTCCCGATTTCAGCCGCAAAGCACGTGAACCAAAGCGCCCGGCCAGGAAAACCATATTTGTGCTGTATGATTACCGCATTGACGGCTTCAAAATACCCCGTGCAGTGGAAAGGTGAAATTCAAAGCACGCCACTCGCAACTCCACCAAGGCAAAAGGGTGCGATGTAGCTTAAAAATATGCCTGTCACATCCAGCCCCAAGGTGGTGAGGAGAGTGCATCCAGCTCCCAGTTAGGTTAGCAAGACAATCCGACATGCAAAAATCAAGGTACTTTGGACCCACCTTTAGTATCTACAGATCCATGGGTGGGTTAATGGTTTTGAAGAAAAAACTATTCTTGAGGGATAGGAAGATTTGGTGTACATCTAGGTAGGACAGCTGTCATTAAGGAGGTTCTCACAGGCCTTTTTTGCAGCATGGAAGTAGAATGTCCTTTTATCTTGGCTTTTCAGGCTGGAAGTAGTGCTCCTGGTTGCTGGAAAAGGTCTGATCCAGGCTTCACTGTTCTAGGCAGTGTACACCCACAGTAACAACCTGCAGCTTCTCAACGTATTTTCAATCGTTGAAAGGCTGTTATTTGTATAAAAACGTTATCCATCTACAAGGAAGTTCCTTTCAGCCTCATTCTGAGCTTTGCATAGAATTTGGAACTAAAGAAGGACGTGTGCATTTGGCTGACCCAAATCCTTGGATGAGCCTGGTATTTTAGCCCTGCAGCCAATGATTGTCCAGATACTGCAGTTATTGAATTTAGTATTAAATTTGCAAATGCCCAGGTGAACTGTACTGACCAAAATAAATGTGGGGCTTCCTCACTCCACCCTGCAGCTTTTCCATTTTGGTCGGTATATATATTAAGATGCTGAAGCCCAGACTTTGGCTGTGTAGTACTTTTCTTTACCAAGGGTAGTATAATTTGTTTGCCACATTTCCATGTCCTCCAAGAAGCTCAGAATGTGCTAACAAAAGATGAAGGAGATTAGGTGGACATCCAGGGAAGTTGGTCATGACTTTGATCCATGCTCGAATGCAGCATGCTAACGGGTGTATCACACTGCCCACCTGGATGGGTACTAAATGAAAGCCAGGGTATTCTCACCCATGCAATTTAAATATGCTTCTGAGTTATTCCTACCTTGTGTACATCTATGAGTATTGCAAGAGGAAGTGACTTCTAAAAGGGAATGTCCATTCTTGTGTATGTAGATTTCATATTTCCTATGTCAGAAAGATGAAAAGTACTTACAGTGTAAAATACATATGGTCTGTAATAAAGCCTGTGTATGAAGAGTCATTGTATCTAAGCCAGGGGAGTGTGCCTTGCAGTTAGCACTGTGAATTATTTGTCACACGATGTATTTTGTGTGTAAATAGTAGCGGAGTTGAAGCCTGAATTGTGTAGAAGGGGGGAATCAGAGGGGAAGAGAGACTATGAGTACAGTAATTGATGTGGTGGGTGTGAGACTGCTAGCTTTATTGGATTAGATACTTGTGCTGTGTTAATCTGAAGGGCATGTGAATATGTTTTGCCAAGATTCTGCCTTGCTGATTGCTCCTGCCATTAAGTTTTGAGGGACCAGTTCCACAAGCAGAGTAGATTATCCATTTTCTACCCATGGTTCCCAAACAGTTTTATAGCTGCCCACCTTTACCTTTGCTGAAGGAAAGACAAGTTAGTCTGGTAATTCAAGCAAAAGCACATGGGAGATAATGTTTGGTTGATCAGATGATGGTAGATAGAAATACAGCCCAAACTCAGAGTAGGCTCTTTTCTCCACGGTTTTGGATCCAGTTGTAACTGAGCAGTCTTATTGAAAGTCATTCTGTAGACAACCTAGGCTCTAATATACCACATGCAGGACGCCCATGCCTACCAAAGGGGAATAGCAGAAAGAAGTGCTTATGGAAGGCCCTTGTGACTGGCATGTGAAAAAGTGCTCTCCCAGGTTTAGCTAGGATGTCCAGTCATACCTGGAGTGTGCCTTGCTACCTAAGGAGTTTCAGAGCTTTTCCCCTCAAGCCACATGGAAACAGTGGCAACCCCTATACGGAGCCGTGCTTGGCCTACCTACATGGATCTAATAACCAGTAGTGCTGCCAGAATTGTTTGAGAGCAAGTGTAGGGGATAGTGTTCAACTAGGACTGTGGAGACCTACTTTCAAATCTCTGCTCAGCCACGGAAACTCAGTGGGGGTGGCAATTGAAAGCTGTATTAAGGTTTCCGTAAGTTTTGTGCTGCTTAGTCATGCCCAGCTATAACAAATCAGTCCTAGGGGGCAATGGATGGCATGGGTTGGGAAAAGGTTTTTAAGAACTGTTTCACACACAGTATTTACTTAATGACAGCTTTTCCTGAGGGTCTGTTTCCAGCATGCACAATAGTTAGCTATGGACCAAAATTGAGCCTTGCAGCTGTTAAAGCTGCCAAGGCTCCTTCTGGTATCAGTTCCCAGTATCGTGAAGTAGCATAATTAATAAGCCACTTCAGGATATCAGTAAATTAAAAACTTCTGCTGCTCCTATGCCAAGGGGTGGGAGAATAGAAATTATTGTTTTTTGCCTCAGATAATCCCTGGTGTGTTGTATCACTTAGATTAAATTAGAATATTTTTCTTTGCATTTCTGTGAACTGCCAGTTCTCTTTTCCAGGGAATCTTACCTTTCCATGTTGTGCCCAAAGTAGAACACACTCAGTTTCAATTTTTTTTGCATCCAGAGGTGGTTCAGGCTTGATTTGTTGTAGGAACCACTTATTTGTCTTTCTGGCAGTCCAACTTTCTGACAAAGTCCAGAGTGTTCACAAACTCTCTTTCAGCACAATATTTTAAATTAATTTTTTTTTCTCCCAATAGCTTTCTTTTACTGTCCAGCTTTCACACTCAAACATAGTGATAGGGAATACAGGAGAGTGGATGGCCTTGGTCTCAGGTGACACATTCTTACACTTGATATTTTCTAATTCCTTCTTTGCTGCACTTCCAAGTGTCAGCCTTCTATTTTCTTTGCTGCAGACTCCATTTGGATTGATAATTAAACCAAGGTATACAAAATCTTTGACAGTTTCAATTGCTTGAAAGACAAAACACAAAACTGGGATGATGATCAGTGGAGTGCTCTAAACAGGAAATGGTTTACAGTGATAGCGCGGAGTGAAATGAATGGAATATACTCCTCCCCACTCAGGTTTGTATTATAGAGTTCTCTGGCTTGGGTTTTAATTTCATGTGCTAAAATCTACACAGGTTCGGTTGATTCCAGAAGAAGATGAAGGTTTGTTGTTGTTATTTTTGAAAAAAAAGTTAAATTTAAATATTAATTCAAATTTCCTCGACATAATTGTGCACATTGACTTTGGATTATAGGGGTTGTAGTTCAACCTCTGCGAGTCACACTCTGAGGACAGTTGCTCTAGGTTATTGCAGTATGAGATCTCTTAGTCCTGTTTAATCAATGAAGGTAGAGATGTATAAACAAGAGAAGCACAACATTGAGCATGTAGCCTGCCTCTTCTGGTTTATGTTTAGTTTAGCAGATATTTGTTTGCAAATATCCACTTTTTCCATTTGTTTTTTTAGATGAGGTAGTGCATACAGAAGATTTTAGCATTTTTGCAGCAATCTTGGTTTTAGCAAAAGAAGATGAAGAAGCCATCACAATGCTTTGCATGCAAATTACTGCTGATCATTAAAAAAATTAAAGTCAGTTTTCCCTCCTATGATGCATGAGCCATAGTTTGAAAAAGATGCAGTCTCATCAAAAGCCCATTTGAAATAATGTAGACAGGACAAGGTAACAAAATAAATAAAAAGATAGCTTTCTGAGACTTCTGCTTATGAATATGACTGCGGTTTAATAATGGAAACATTTGGATAGCTACGTCATTACACAGGGTACCAGTAATAAAGCAACAATACTTTCTTCTAAA